GTGGAGGTATTGGTTTTCTATTATTTCTTAGTATTTTTTGTAATTACCATATGTTTTGCATGTTTGGACCTTTTTCCTCCATTTCTCGAACGTGGATCCCACCGTCAGCTTCTATGTTCTGGTAGTGCTGTTTTCACTTTCCTGTTTAGCTCTTCCTTCCCATGTGTCTCTAAACCCTATTTCTTCTTCACTAGTGCTATATCTGAGTGCTTCTTGTACGATGTTTTCGAACTCTAGGACTCTTTCTTCTATTTCTTGTGGATTGTTTATCACTGGGACATTGTTGATTCCAATACTCATAAGTGTTTTGTAATTTGCCAACTTTGTTTTCTTTCTTTTTCTTGTTGTTATGTTGTTTCCTTTCCATGTTCCTATTTCTAGTAGTATCGGGTTGTACAGTCTGTAGTCCTAGATTTGTAACTACTACAATGTCGATTCGATGGGCCCTATTATCATTGTGTCTTCATTGTTTGCTAGATAGTTGTTCAGTAATCTTCCGTTTCTATTCGTAGCTCTATCGTTCCAGTTTGGGGATCTCGCATTTAGGTATCCTATTATTATGGACGGCTGTGCTATATTCAGAAACGCGTCGTCGTCGTCGTCTATTATAGGATTTCGTGGCCTTATGTATACTGAGGTGATTCTGATTTCTTTTTGCCTCATATGTACTTTAATTTTAGTTGCTTCTATTGTGTTTAATTATGGTGTTAGTATTCTGGTGTGTTGCTTTATGTTTATGTTGTTCGTCAATTTGGTTTCCTGTATTGCTACGACGACGACGTCTGTTTCGTGTCTGTTGATTATTTCATCCAAAACGTTTTCATTTCTTCTTATACCGCCTGGATTAAGGAGCCTATCTTCAAGTATCCCGTTTTTTCGTACCTTAGGTCAGTGCTATCTTTATCCCCCTATCACTTTATACACAACTTTAGTGATTATTTCTCCCACCATGTGGGTTAGTCCACCTTGTTTTTCTTTGGAAAATACTACGGTATTTTCTGCTGAGAGTAGCTGGACAACAACTAATCGCGTCAATCACGGCGTGCCCCTGCCAGGTGTGAAGAGGAGAGTGACGTAAGTAGTCGTATACATGAGCCGCCTTTCACCCCACAAGCCCCCGCTCATGCATTGGCATACAGGTATATTAGCATAAGATTTAATAAATGAAATGTTATATTTAGGATAACCCCAGTAGCGGGTGATTACTAAAGTGTTTGCAGCTTATTATATTATTGATGTTTACATTGTTTTGGTTCTTTTCTGTTGACATGTATAAATGGATTTTTATATCAACGTTTAAAAATTTGCAGCCCCTGGATATTGTGATGTCATAACGAACACGTAGCATATCTGATAATGTGCTAGGTGTTCGCTACATTTTACTGGGCGGTAGAAAGATTTTAATATAAATTGCAAGATACCTTACAGGCAATATTAAGTGATGGGACTAATTGATAAACATAATTATACCATAATACTTCTACAAAGTTTAAAAGCTTTATTAGATAAAAATTCACTTACCTGCCTTCTAAAGTTTTTGCTAATTTTGCTTTAATTTACAGATCTCTGCAACTATTCATCTCTTCAACTCCTCTGGAACATACAGGGTAATTTACTAGTGTGAGGAAGCTTAGTAGATCTGTTATAGTAAAAATTACATAAAAAAGTTATTGACAAACATTGTAGGCAGCTTTAAACTCCACATTTTAAAATTAGTTGCAATCTTACAGGGTGTTCCATACGATGGTGACAGACCAAACTTATGTTTTTTTAAATAAAATACCCTGTATTTTATTTTAAATTTAAAATCTGCTTCACTTTCAAATCACAACAATGTAAAGTTTTATTATATTATGCCGGGTATTTAAAAAGTTATAACCAATATTACCTGAAAATCGTATCAAGTTAAACTCCCTGTATAATTAAAAAGGGGTATGAAAACATTGATCTATTACAACCATATTTTTTTAATAATTGTTAAATATTATAAAACATATTCGTTTTCATAATATTCGTTAAATCAAATACAGAATAAGTCAAAATGCAAGTACATTGTTTTCTTGGTAATTTTGAATAGAACACCCTGTATTTTATATCACTATCGAAAAGTACTAATACTGTACTTCAAATTTTATGAAGTACTCCCTATACCTAAAGTTATTAGTTTTCTAGATATTTTTATTTTTCCATCAAAGTATTAATTTGGTAGATATTTTATATCAATGATTGCCAATGTTTACCAATGATTATTGTGAGTTGGCCATGATTAATTTATCAGAAACTGACAGTTTGACATTACTGTTTAATAATTCAGTAACGAAATAACGAAACAGAAAAAAAAACAATTTATTTCAAATAAAATTTATAAAAAATAACCGCCGGAAAATAAAAAAACATACAAGACAGAAAAATAAACAGCAACAGTAATTTTAACTTATCTTACTCAAGTAAGGTGTTCAAAATGACCTTCCAAAACATATATGCATATTTGAAAGCGGTCATAGAAAGAGTTGCTTACATTACTACGTATTTGGAAATGCAATTCGGATTCTATTTTTCATATCATCCCTTGTTGTTGGAGATATTTTATATACTTTGTTTTTAACGTAACCCCAAAAAAAGAGTCCATTTTATTGAATTCTGAGAACCTTGGGGACCATCTTACCGGTCCATCCGTTCCAATCCATCTTTCACCAAACTGATCATTAAGTTCACCAAGTACTAATTCGTTGTGGTGCGCAGGAGCACCGTCATGTAGAAACCACCATTGTTCTCGTATATTAAGTGGAACCTCTTCTAATAATATCGGTAACTGATTTACGATAAAATCTAAATAAATCCCACCATTTATCTTCAAAAACATATGGTCCTACTACATGGTTACCGACGATAACTCCCCACACATTTAGAGACCATCTTGTTTGACTATGTATTACTATGTGGTATGGATTACTTGTTAAATAGTAGTGAAATGTATGCCTATTAACAGAACCGTTTCAATAGAATTTAGCTTCATCGCCAAATAGAACCTAATCAAAAAAATCTCTCTTCTCATTAATTTTTTCTAAGGCCCATTTACAAAATACTATTAGTTTCTGAAAATCATCATTATTTAATTCTTGGTGCTTTTGAATATGATAAAGGTGCATCTTGTTTTTAGATGGAATATTTTGAACAGAGTAGGTAGTACCTAAGTTCTTGTTCATTGGAAATACTCCTTATACTTGTGTGTGGGTTTTCTGTAACTGCCATCAACACACTCATTTCGTTTTCCTCTGTCACACTAGTTTATTTCGTTTTTATTTTTCGCTAGTTTCGTTCATATTTTTCATAATTCACTGAACCAGTGCGGTTAAATCGATCTTTCAATTTTTAAAATGTATCTTGTCTAGGTTGCCGCCTATCTGGAAACTCCAGATCATATCTACCATTTCATCAGTAGTAAAATTCATTATTGCTAATTTAAATTTAATTAATTACTGAATTGCTAAATAATAATTGTGGCTAATTTACGGTGTACCCCAATACTGAACTAATAAACAATAATGTCAAACTGTCAGTTTCTGACAAATCAATCCTGGCCAACTCACATTAATTGTAAACGTTAAAATATCTACCAAATTAATACTTTGATGGAAAAATAAAAAATCTAGAAAACTGATAACTTTAGATATAGGGGGTACTTCATAAAATTTGAAGTACGATATTTGTACGTTTCGATAGTGATATAAAATACAGGGTATTCTATTTAAAATTACCAAGAAAATAATGTACTTGCATTTTGACTTACTCTGTATTTGATTTAACGAATATTATGAAAACGAATGTTTTATAATTTTTAACAATTATTAAAAAACTGTGGTTGCAATAGATCAATGTTCCTATACTCCTTTTTAATTATACAGGGAGTTACACTTAATACGATTTTCAGGTAATATTGGTTATAACTTTTTAAATACCCGGTATAACATAATAAAACTTTACATTGTTGTGATGTGGAAGAGAAGCAGATTTCAAATTTAAAATAAAATACAGGGTGTTTTATTAAAAAAAAACATAAGTTTGGTCTGCCACCATCTTATGGAACACCCTGTTAGATTGTAACTAATTTTAAAATGTGGAGTTTAATGCTGCCTACAATTTTTGTCAATAACTTTTTTTGTAATTTTTACTATAACAGATCTACTGAGCTTCCTCACACTAATTATTATCCTGTATAGCGCTTTCACCTTATTTCATTCAAAGTATTTTAGAATCATTGTTTTGAATTATTCCCGGATCAGAGGAAATTTTAGGTCTACTCAGAAACCTGAAGAAATTGTTGATAAATTCTAGCTTCGACGAATCATGCATTCACTGTATTATGTGCGAATCTAAAAAAAAGGAAATAAAGCGAATTTACCACTGGGTCAATTTTATTTTAGGTCACGTGAAAAAAAGCGGTTATTTAATTGGACGAAAGCATTCCAATTTGATTCTTTTTTCTTGTGTCTTTCAAAGTTGTATCCTGATAGCTTCTTAACAGCTCGATGTATATATTTTAATTTAAAATCAATATGTTTATTTTTTAAAAAGAGAACGTAAGAGTTTCCCGCTCATTCATTCTTTAGATATCTATAATTTTAGATCACGCGATCCAATTTTTTTTTTGTTTTTTGTCGACATCATCGAAGGTTGAAGACATCATAACTCTTAAAAACTTCGCCTTAATTTCACCATTTTTCTACAAATATAGGAGATTTATGGATTCTCCAGAAGATAGGGATTAACATACTTGATTTTTTTCCTTTTTTTTTAATGTCGGTCTTATAACCCGTTAACGTTTCGACACATGCACATTTTATTTTACTATCTCTTTGGAAGTAAAAGTCGACTATGTCTACTTAGATGTATCAAAATTATCACAATTTCAACACTTTCCGCCACATATCTAAAAAAATTTATCAATTTAAGATCCAATTTATGGTCTTTTGTGTTCATTTAAGGTAGAAAGAAATAACCACTTGTAACATTTTTATTCGGGAGACATAAATAATAAAACACTACACAATCTACTTAAAGACGCAACAACGAGAAATTAAAATCAATGTAATGTCTAGTTTTTAATAGTACGTCGGATAATGATATGCAGCTGAAGTGGGCGAAGTGACATGTGGCCTGGTAGTCAAAGAAGCTGGATGGTAAGGATTCTGTGACACCGAATATCCACTAAAGCCTTGGACGGGCGAAACCGCCCCACTCGGTGTGGTAGAAGGTAAAATACGACCATCTCCGATGAGTCTACTTTGATCTAGCAGTCTGGATTGATCAGAAATAACTCTGGAGTCATCACCAATGATCCTGCTTTGATCTGACGAAAGCAAATGGTTTGTTCCTAATTGCTCAGTGTTTAATATCCTAGATGTACTGTGATCAGTGAGTACTCTATTGCTAGTTTCCGGAATTAATCTATCTGTTGTTAAATGTCTTGTGGAAATGAGATCTGGATTTAGTAAGCGACTCTGATCTAGAAGTCTGTGCGGGGTTGTCTGAAGACTATGGTCTGTTAACAAACGTGAACTGCCAATTGAATGCAGAGGATGGTTCCTTAAGCTCAAATCCACACTGTGCCTACCAGGAGGAGTCAAATCCAAAGAAACAACCCGCAAAAGATCAGCATGTGTGTAAGTAGGCGGTGGAGGACTGTAATTAAGACGCAAATCCACCCTATCAACGTCAGGATACAATGACCGATATCTATTCACATTGGAATAATTATGGAAACTTCTAGCAGACATATCTAGACCTTGCAGCTCAGAATTGAGTATCAGAGGCTCAAAGTTCCGATCAGTCCTAAAGTCAGACTCGATCAGATCGTACTGCTTGTTTCTAGTCTCCACCGAGTCGATCAGATCGTAAGTTTTAGTTCTGAAGTCCAGCTCAGTATCGTATGTATGATTTCTTTGTCGCAAACTTTCAGTGTCGATACTGTCGTAAGCTTTTAGCCTCAAGTCTAGATCTATGTCGAATTTATTACGTATTTCGACTGATAAATCGTGGTGTTCATCTCGTTCTATCTCTTTAATTTCATCATTTGGAACTCCGGACGGCAAATCATTGTTAATAACGTCTATGTCATCGTCTAACTTAAACTTCCTAATGTAATCGTGAGTTGTTGTCTTGTAGGTCTTGTATAAAGATAGATCTAACTGTATTTCATTTTTAGCGTGCAAACTCAGATTCTGTACTGTCATTCCGTTACTGTCATCGGAAGATAAATGATCCGGATTAACGTGATGACCGAATAGGTCGTATCTGGATGGACTAGGTACAGGCGAACTACTTTTGGGATCGTACCCGCCGTTCTGCGGAGATAAACTATTGATGTAATTTCGCACAAAGTTCGACCTGTGTATATCTGGACTGTGAGGTGGACTGAAGTCGTTTTGTTGAAAGTGGGAATAGTGCATTCCTATGCTGCCATCGTGTCTTAGTTCATCGTTTAACTCGTCAGTCACCGAAACATGATCATTCACTGAAGGAGAAATGAGACTAATATCTCTGGAATCACTAATACAGCCTTGATCATTGTAGGAAACGTCATGAAGGTTGTCCGATTGGGCAAGATTATACAAGTTGTTTACTAACGAGTCTGCACAGTTAGGAGTCCCGTCAATATCTATATTCGGCTCATTACAAACCGAATCCAAAGCTGCCTCAACCAACAAACTTGCATTAGACGCTTCATGTCTGCCAAAATCACTACTCGTCAATTTACCTCTATCGTACATTTCACTTTCTTGCAAAGTTATCGTGGAAAAGTCGTCTTTACTGAGCTTCTCTACTGAATATATATCCGACAACTTTGTTGCCACTGGTGGATCATCTCCGATCCATTTTTTAGATCCTTTACTTAATACTTTTAAGTTCGATCCTGATACCGACTTGTTGTAATCTTCCGGCGGGGGTGTTGGTATCTCTGGAGATGGAGGGGGAAATTCATCTTGTTTTTCTTCTTGAGGAGGTGCTTGTGATGGAATGGGATCGTCTATATTCTCACTGTTATCACCTGTAAAAGAAAGAAAACATGGGTAAAGTATTTATTTCTCAGTAAGATGATTTTTTGGTTATAGTTTTTTATTTTACTTTTATAGTTTGGTCACAGTTCTGTTTTTTTTTATATAAAGTTCAGTAATATATTAACAATTTCTGTATAAGTTTCATTCTTCAAGTTTGAGTTCTTCGTAGTTTTTGGGAATACTTCGAAGATGAAAAATTTCCGATGTAGCCATTGGATTTGTAAAATTATGTTACAAAAACTTTTGTTTAGTAAAAAACCATAATATTCCAAATCAAATTATTATATCGGAAATTTTACATCTTCTTGAAATTTGCATAAATAGGGACTACGTTAAATTCAATAATCAAATAAATACAAATATCTGTGCAGAACTTATGGGTAATCCTCTAAGACCATAGCTATCAGATATTTTTATCGATCATCTAGAAACAAATATTTCAAAACATCCAGTATTGAAACAGTTTTTGTATTGGTGGAGATACTAGAAATAGAACAAAACCAATCCATAAATTTTCTAGATTTAAAAATTATTAGACTTGAAAACAAACATGAGTTGTCCGTATTTCATAAACCTACTGTAACTAAAGTTAGGCAATCCATATTACTTTTTAGAAATTACTATTTAAAATTTAAAATTACTTATTCTCTATGTAGGTACTTCAAATTCTTAAAGTTGATATTATGATGCTGCATTGAATTATACTTTTATTTCTGGGCAGAAATTCAACGTGAAAACAAGTCAGCTGTTGCCAATGTGTAATTGGTAAGAATATATTTTTAAATGTTTTTAAGAAGATTGGTTTGGGAGAGATTATTTTGGTTTAGTTTATCATGGTTATGATTTTATTATTTATTTAGATTTAATTCCGTAATTCACCGTGCAAGTCTAATTTTAAAATACGTATATGTAGTCATTTTGTAGTATTCACCGTTAAATCTCCTAAATCATTTTCATTGTCATAATTCCTTCCGTTTCATTGAAAAATATTCTGTATATTTTAAATATATTAAGAATATATTATTTTCTATTAATTTTATTTCGATTTTCACAATTCACAAACAAGGAATTTCAAGATATCAAGAAAGGAAACAACATAACATCATAGGCAATCCAGAAACGCCACAAGACGGGATTTAAATATAACAACAATACCATTATGTAAAGGGCTTCTGAGAAAAAATAAAAAGGATAGGAAATAAATACAATATTACAACAACATTCAAAATATCCAATACACTGAGATGTGCAAAACCAAACTTAGCAACACATAAGAGATATCATTGATATCAAACATGCAACATGTAAATGCAACCAGACAATAAAAAAATTAAAATTGTTTTTGTTAATTTTAATGTAATGTATATTATATGCAAGTAATCTAATGTAAAATTTGTGAAATGTAATGATATAAAAGATGGATTATACGCTCTAGACCTACAAGGTCTGTTGAGCAAATAAATAAATGAAAATAAGTTAAGAAATAAAAACAAATACACAGACTCGCTGATAATGTAGTTCAACTATCAAAACTGAAAGAATATCCTATCTCTCTCTGTGTAGGTTCACAACCCTTCGTGGTATTCACTGCCTTTACGACTTGCCTCAATCATATATTCCGACAGTTGTGTATTCCCATAGCATGCAAATCTTTTAGAATGTTATCCCTCGATCTGAGTCTGTGATTTTTTATGAGTCTCCTACAAATCGGATTTTCCGCCCATATATGTTCCATGAGCTCATTGGCTCTAGTTACTGTCCTGCTCACCTCAGTCTCTTGACTCTTATCTCATTGATGATACTTGGTTGATTATAAAAGGTTTCTAGTTCTTCATTTGTTTTAATTCGATAGTGTCCGGTTATTCTGCTGGGCCATATATTTTTCGTAATACATCGCGTTCAAAACGCCCTAACAACAGCTCGTTTTGTTTTGTTATGCTCTATCTTGGGCACGTAGTATGCCAAAAACAATAAGTCTTTTTGGTATGAAGAAATGCCCAGATAATTTGACACGACTCTTTCGTTTTTTATCCTGCTCTTTTTAACAAAATCTTATGTTGTACTGTACTGATACGGTAATGTGGGTTGCCTGATCTAATTGATTTTACTCATACTCATTAGTTAATTTTGAATATTTTTGTCATTTCACAATAGTATTCTTCTTTTATGACTCATTTATGGCAAAACAGAGCCCATTATGGACTTTGGTCTGCCAAGAGTTTTCTTCGAAATCTGTTATTTTCAGACCATATTGTCTCCGCGTGGCAACACCGAGGTTTCGCAAGTCTCCTTTCATGTCATCTCCGTACCATCCTTTTGCCCTTCTTTTTTCTCTGTTTCCCACTAAACCGTTTCTTTCATCCGCATTACATAGCCTAGCTATCTTAGTTGTGTCAGGTTCTTTGATAAATAAATAGTACAATTAAATGTTAAACTTTTAATTGTAAAATTTAAGGATTTAATTGTATTAAACTAATTCAATTTTAAATTAGTTTAAAAAAAATAACAAGATTTTAGGTCTGGAAGATCATGCACTGACGCTATATTTATAATGAGGCAAGTGCAAGAGAAATCTAGAGTACAACAAACCGGATATGTATGTTTCGTGTACCTTATAAAGGCATTTGGCCGGGTCAAATTAAAAGACGATATCCACTTACTGTACGAATGATCGAATCAAATACGATCAAAACGATCAAAAATATCTACCAAAACAACACAATAAAAGTAAACGTAGAAGAAGAACTATCTGATCCTATTGAAGCTGGCAATGGAATAAGACAGGGAGATTCCCTGAGTCCTCTATTGTTCAACCTGATTATGGATGAAATAATAAGAAAAATAAGACCTAAAAAGGGATACCAAATGGGAAAAAAACAACTTAAAAAAATCTGCTATGAAGACGACGCAATACTACTCTCTCAAAGTGAAGATGATTTACAACGTATACTGCACCAATTTAATATAACCGTTAGAGAATTTAACATTTTAATTTCCCCAGAAAAGACAAAATGCATGGTTACAACTGCAAATTTACTAAGATGTAAATTGGAGATGGAAGGCCAGATAATAGAACAAGTGATGGAGTTTAAATATCTAGGCATCACATTATCTAGCTACGGAAAGCTCGAAACTGAAGTGGAAGATCAAGTAAATAGAGCAAACAAAGGCCGCAGGCTGCTTGATTGAAACAATATAGAGAAGTAAAAATATCGGGTAAGAAAACGTAAGGCAGAATTTACAAAACAGTCATCAGAACAATAATGACATACGTGGCAGAAACAAGACCCCACACAGAGAGGACAGAAAGGATGTTAGAAACAACAGAGATGAACACACTTGGAAAAATTGATGGTAAGACACTATGGGACAGAGCTAGAAGTACAGATATACGACGTAGATGCAAGGTGGAGACCATCAAGAACTGGGTAAGAAATTGAAGAGTAAAATGGAACGATCGTATAGCCGAATGTCAACAAATAGAGTAGTAAACACGATAAGAGATGGTTCCCCAATAGGAAGACTACGAAAACGATGAAACAACTTACTGGAGGCACATTGAACAACAGACAGGGTCGGGTCTATATAAAAAAAAAGAGGAAGAAAAAAGTTAAACTTTATTTTCCAATCAACATCATTTATCCCATCTAGTTTCGTACGCAATAGCCCTATCTTTATTGTGGCAGCTATAGCTCCATGACTAAGTACTGGCTTATAAAGTCGGACGGCCCGGAGTCGATCCCAGTCGACACCAGAAATATTTTAATTTCTAATTTAACTTAGTCGTCACGGTGCTTCGGAGGACACGTAAAGCCTTCGTTAAGACTAAAACCTGACCCAGAAGGCTATATGAAATCAATTGGCTGCAGTAAGACAGCTTATAACAACCAAGGTCTTCCAAAAAAACCTGTCTTTCAAAGTATTAAAACATTTCTTTTTGCGATGTTCACGTTTCTATCACATATCTTAAAATTGGGTTTTATACATTTAAAATTTTGTTTTTCTGCTGATATATTTTGTCCTTAATAGTGAGATCAGGCCATAATAGCATATGTTGGATGCTAATATTCTCCTTTTTATTTTAGAAGAATTATCGTTTTCTATGTTCATCAGTGAGAATGCGCAGATAAATTCATCTACTTTTTCTATACTTTTAATTTCCAAAGGGTCCTTGGATATATTAATCATTAGGTACATTTTCTTGCCAGCGCTTTCAAGCATATATATATATATATATATATATATATATATATATATATATATATATATATATATATATAAATTAAGAAATAATCAAAAACTACTTACTTCCATCATCCGAATGTTCTTCTTGATCTTCTTTATCCACAGACATGTAGTTATCATCAGCTTTAGAATCTTCACTGACATTTTCATTCTCATTTCCACTGTAGGCTTGAAAGGTATAATCTATGCTACGTATAATTTTCGGCATATTATCTTCAGTGTAATTGTGAATCTTTCTATAGTGGAACTGTAAGCACTGTTTAGTTGTAAACGCTGAATTACAGCTTGTTACATTACACCTAAAAAAGTACGTTTTACTGAATAATGTTTAATAAACATGCAAAACAAAATTAAGTAACTTTTACCAATAGCATTAATATTTAGCACTAAAACTGTCAATATCGGGATATGGACAAAGACAAAAAAAAATGGAAAGAAATATAATATTAAGTATATGTTAAGTATACTGTCAAGGTAATGTTAAGGTGTGATAATCATAATCATGTTATAAGTATTAATAAAAAAGAGTTTATGTAATTCTATGTAAATAAATAAAAGAGTTGTAATTAATGCAAAATGAGCAAAATCGGATAAACTAACGAATGGACCTAAGGCCCGAAGTCATGCAAACGTAAGTTAAAAAAACTGTCAATATTTAACGAAAGAGAGTGAGGCAATAATATCTACTTTTCTAATTTTAACTTATATGCAGAGGGAGCATTCACAGAGGCAGTTGCAGACTCTAGAAAGGGTGTTAAAGTGAAATGACAAATTTATTATAATTTATATTAACAATATTGGGTATATAAACATTGTAATATTCTAATTCATAAGTTTCTGAGTGATCATAGCGTCCCTACCATTTCCAACTATCGAATGTGAAAAGCGGGGTTTTTCAGATTCAAGACCTTGTCCTTGCATTAGACGTGATACACCTTGTAGCAAAATATCAAAACTGTAGCTTGATAAGGAACGCGGGAAAATTTTGTTTAAGCCATCGAATATGAACATTTTGTCATTTTGTTTTGGTCAAAATATCGAATATACTGCGAACTGACGAAAATGAAATATTCGATACTTGTGTTTTGTATGAATATAACTAAAGGTATATTTGTACAACACAAAATGACGAATGTGTCACATTCATTATAAAATTTAGTGTTGTAATTGATACAGTTATTCAATTATAATCTGCAAACTGTCTTAAATATCTACTAAACATTGTTGACAAGAAAAAACGCATGTTTTCATATTTGTGTGAATTATTGCTTCCAAGAAGTTCTTTCGGTGAAGCACTTTATCATTTTGTTTTTATCGGTTTCTCATTATCTGATTATTCAGTTAACTGGGTATAGCTAAACCGGAAACAGTGATTTTGTCGAGAGACAAACAAGTAAACGAGAATTATTTAAAAAAAGATTAAAGAATGCTGCCTTTGAGACGTAGTCCGCACAGTGTTATTCTCCTGTCCATCACAAACACCTCGAAAGAAAGATGCACCGAGAAAAAAAAGTGATGAAGATAAACAGTCGGCTTTAGAGAATAGGAAAATATTAGCATTTAATTTAAATATTTATTTAAATTGAAATATTAATAAAAAAACTTTTTATTATTTAAGAGAAGGGATCGTCCAGTGTTTCATATAGGATGAAACCGAGGGAAAACGCGGTGGTCCTGAAATTGCTACATGTATATTTAAATACATCATGTCTTACCCTGATATGGAACATGTCAAAAGTGATGTCCGACAATTGCGGAGGACATCAGAAGAACTTTGCTTTTTCTGCCATGTGTCAATATGTTGTTATTTATTGTCACCCAAATTTAAAAACAATTGACCATGTGGTTTTTGTACCGAGTCACTCAGAAATGGAATACAATTCTGTCCATTTAAAAATTTAATCCAACTTAAAAAATTCCCCTGTATAGGTACATCCTTGAAGAATGGGCACAAATCATAAGACTTGCACGCACTAAGCCATGCCCGTTTGAAATGACATACCTACTTCATAACGACTTCTTAGATTTTAACCAAAGAAAGGTAACTATTTACTAGAAAATAAAATAAAACCAAAGAACGAACAAAATCAATATGAAAATGAAAATGAAGTAAAAGATGAAGAGCAAGCAAGTAATGGAAATACTAATTTTAAATATAGTGATGGTATATGGTACCAGTATCGGCAAAATGAAAATACATTTTTTTGAAGACCAGAATTGATGGAAACTTTTTATCTCTTGAAACCAAACAAAAAAGAGGTAAACAAAATAGTATCAACGTGTATGTGAACAAAACTTATTACCTAGGCCATACCACCAATATTACCAATCTTTACCAAACTTTACCTTTCTGACCGCAACTGAAGACAACGATAACGTTTAATTCAAAATTTAAAACTTTTAATTTACCATTATTTTACAACAATTGAGGGTCATGACTGAGTACTTTAGGTATCTACAGGACGTGAAGTTCCATAATTAATGTTTTTTACTTTTCTAATTACATTAATATCCTAGTAATACATACTTTCATAAAAATACTTTTAACAATTTTTTTTAACATAATTTTCCCATTTTGTCCTACAACTTTAATTTTTAAATAAATTAATAAACTTTGTAAGAACAATAAAATTATTTTAATTTTCCTCCTTTTTAATTAAGAATATAAATGTGTTAACATTAGACCAATATGAACTGTCGAAAATGCCACATTCGCAATTTTGAGACATTGTACCCAAACAAATAGTTGTTTAACACAAAAAGCAAAGTATCGATATACTAAATATAAAAAATATAAAAATTTTTCCATTTGTTAAAGGCGCTGATTTAGAATTCTCTAAAAAAGAGTTATCTTGCTCTCCTGAAAAGTACTACTTTTCACATTCGATAATTGGAAATGGTAGGAACGATAAAATCTATTAGATTGAATTTTATATTGAAATACAAGATTTTTAAGACCAGGTTTCTCCAAAAAATTTTCAAAAAATCGACTTTTTTTTATTTGCTAGCAAATACTCTTAGGAATAGTATAGAATTAGTTCCGAAGACACACGCCACCTTGAAGTAGGTAGATAAGAGGAAAAAGGGAGCGCTCTAAGCGGTTAATTCGGCCATTCAAGAGGGCCGGGTGACTTTCGGGTATTTCGAAACTATTACCAACAAAAACCAAACGGAATTTTACTCTTTATATGTCTCTCTATGGTCTGTAATTGCTAACAACCAAAAATGTTCATTGTTATTTTTAAAAACTGCAAAAAAGGGTCGGAAAATTCAAAAGTCCGCCATTTTTTTTTTTTGTTTCATTGAAGCACCGTCCATAGCCTTCGATACAGAATATGAAACCATTTTGTTTTTTGCTTTCGGGTGATCGTGATGAACATTGTGTAACAAACTAAACTACTAATCTATTTTTTGTTATATTTGTTAAGTTTAACTTACTTAAAAGGTTTGATGCCACTGTGGGTTAGCATATGGATTTTAAGGTTCGATTTGTTCTGGAAACTTTTCCCGCATCTTGAACAGGAACAGTTTGCTTCTGTTTGCTTCTTATGTACTTCCTTTAAATGTCTTTGTAATGCTGCTCTAGATCCCAGAATTTTCAAACAGCTCTTACATTGAAACTCTTTTAATACTTCAGCTAAATCTGAAAGTCATAAAGATTATCATTCGGAATTCTGTAATTTGTTTCATAAGAAGCTAATTTCTGTAATTCGTTTTACGGGGAGTGGCGTATTACGCACAAGAAGGTCTTGTTATTTCTCTCTCTAAAAGCCGTTATTCGTTCACAATACGACATTTTTTGATTAATATTTTAATCTCTTTAAGCAGTGGTAAATCGAAGGCAGACTCTGAGAGAAAAAGGCAGGATTTTTAACCAAATTTCCCATGCTATGTAGTAAACATACTACATAGCACCATCTATATTGGATGGCAGAAAATACGGCAATTCGCCGCTGTGCGTAAATATTGATTAGATTAATATGATTTATTGTTGTTGTTGACTATTAGCCGAGTAAATGAAGCAATAAACCTACCAATTTTTTGCAGTTGGATGGATCTCGAGAAATTTATTACATTCGATTCGTAAGAACTTTAGAAGATTTTGTGAACTAAAGTGATGGTGTCGAAATGAAAATTGCGATATTGAACAAGGAAAATGCATTGGGACATGCAAGCAAAATTTTGTTCTTTGAGTTGTCATTACCTGTCTGTGAAGTTTAAGCCGTTTTGCTCTCCGTAGTGCCAGTACTCTTTTTAAGTGCTGGATAAACACATCGACTGTTAGAGAATTTTGCCAAGGACAATTTTCTTGTTTTTCTGCAATTGTCATTAAATATATTCGATACCTACATGTCTCTGCCAACTGAGTCGTACTCTGTTTAAACTCCTTTGGTATATATAAACTATAATTCATCAATTTAATCAATGTAGCATCAAAGGTGCTATAACCTCTTAGAAGAATATAATTCGTCCGGTTTTTTTGCCAAACAGTTTTTATTAGGTAAACTTCAGTGTCCCTTGGACTGAGCATTTTTTGCTATCTCTATTGCAGTTGCTACTGTCGTTCTGACTGCATCTCCAGACCGTATGGTAACAATACCTACTTCAGTCAATGTAAGTTGTAGCATTTTAATAATAAGATTTTTTTAACTCCCATAAAACTCTAGGAGACGAGGTTCCTTACGAGATCAACTCTGGGCACCAGGTACCACGGAGACCATCGCCATCATGATAATCGTGTTTAGTCCCAAAAACATCCGAGTAACGAGTTTGTACTGATTTTGTATCGATTTTCCATAAAATTTCAGAACCCTTCCTGATTCAGGATACGAGACCCTTCCTGACCACCAGGTACATTGGAGACCATCGCCGTCATAATATTCGTGTTCAGCGACCCCAATAATCCCCGAGTAGTCATATTGAACTAATTTCCATCAATTATTTCCGAATTACAAATTTATCGATTTTTATCACTTCGAAATGCACTTTGGAAAATACATTTTCCTGGTTCAACAATATATGTCATAATATGTCCTAATGCACTTACGAACCGAATGTATCCAATTTCATTGAGATGAAATCCATCCAACTGAAAAAACTTGGTAGACTTTGGGCATTTTACTGTTTCATTGCCTCGCCCATGTGGATATTATAAATAAGTTTAGAGTTATTTACAATATTGTAACATATTGATTACTAGAGGCCATATTGTTGTAAATAATAGTAAAAAATGAAATAAGTACTCACCACTATGCATTCTTTTTATGTGCACTTTGAGTTTCTGAGGTTGGCAAAACTTACGACCACAAAAATCACAAAGTGGTTTTGATCTATGGGGATTGGCAGAACAGCCATATGTGCGATGCATTTCCAGATAATTCAGTCTCAAAAAATACTAAAAAATCACATATAAACAAAGATATTGTGTATTTTTTTATTGAATTAGTGTATCTTGATTATAGATATTATTTATACAGGAGCAATAAATAGTATACAAGTGATTACATAAAAGTTTTAACAGTACAGGATGGTACTAGTACATAAATAATAAGTATATGTAAGCTCGTTTTGGTATATTGTCGAAATAAAAGAATATGTTTGACAGTGACCATTGTAGTATTAATACAAAGGTAGGACCTCGAGACACCATCAGATATCTACGTGTGAACCTAGTATGTCCAATTCGTAGTGTCCTTGTGTGGTTGGATTTCTTAAAATTTGGAAGGCAGATTATTCCAGTAAGTTTGCCAACTTAAGTGTAAGACGATTACAGTGACGTTTTAGATCTTTGTTAATTTGGATATTTTCAGGATCGATCGTACTGATAGTTAGATATCTCTGCGTTGCGTTTGTTGTGCTTTACAATGAACGGTTTCGTAGCCTTGAATTTCGATATGGAATAATACCGATATTATTGTCAAGGGATCTCCTTGGGAGGCCAGGAAATGGATATTGTGTGATTAGTGTTTGCATATTATGTATAATACCAAAAACACCAAAATATAGTCTCGTACAGTTATAAAAAGAAACACACAAACAGTGAAAAACGCTGCAATGAAACGGTCTTATAATATGGACAACAAAAGGATAAATTGAATCTTATGGAATTAAGAAAACAAGAAAAATCAAATTACTAAAAGCAATTGTATAATAAAGTCCCTTTTCTCAAAAATATGTTAAAGAAAAACAGGAAAATTATTACCAAATCAAGGAATGTAGGCTTTCACAGCCGATGTATTTCTTCTTGGTGTTTCGTCTGTAACTGGGGCAGACATTATCAAAAATGATGAGGCAAAGGCCATACTGTCTGTCGCTCACTGATTCATCTTCCTCGAATATCTGCGCTTGTTATATCTTTACTTTTCTCCCACGTTCGGTCGGTTGGTGGAAATTTTTGGGACTGTTGGTAGGAGGCTTTGTATTTCTATAAGGCTTCATTGTTTACTAAGGAGGCAGTTAGTAAATCTTTAGAGTGTATTGGTCAGCAGTTCTCAGAAGAAATCGCAAACTTTTTCGACACTGTAGTTACAGTCACGAATTTGCAGACTGATATGCTAGTTTCTTTCTTTTATTTCAAATACAGTTACTTTGCTTATTTTTGTATTTCGTAATATGTATGTATACTTTGAGGTGGAAGGGTATGAACCAGTGGTGATGTTGTAGACGGAAAGTATATATCTAGACTAGTGTTGTGTCAATCGTTCATTTTACGAGGACCAAATCAACCAGTAACGGACTCCGAATACGATCGAATCTTTGAATCATTCGTTGGTTTCAATACTTTTCATCGCCGTTTAAAAGAAATACAAGTAACCGATTGATTGAGCTGAATCGACTAAAAACCGAGACCATTGCTTACGGTATTTCGTATGTTATTCTTATGTGAATGTACAGATTCTTTAAGAAATTATTCGAAAAGCTAGAATTTATGGTTTTTGTTTTTAGGGTCTATAGTGTCAAACTAAAAAATAATTATAAATTTATATGGTAATATGTGCTGCATCCAAATATAAATATTTATCGTCATTTAAACGTTTTGCCTCGCTCTAGCTTTGTTTAAAAGGCGTGCAAATAGATATTTTATGATTTTAACTACCTACCTCTTAACTATTAACAACACAAGCGAAAGCAACCGCTGGGGTGTATAGAATTTTTTCCAATTCCAATACTCCCGGTTTGTAGCTAAGCCTTGTGCCTCTTAACTATTAACAACACAAGCGAAAGCAACCGCTGGGGTGTATAGAATTTTTTCCAATTCCAATACTCCCGGTTTGTAGCTAAGCCTTGTGCCTTGCACGCAATTCTTAATTCAATATTTAGTATTTTAATTACTCAGTCGTTTAAAAGAACTAAAGAACGCATTCAGTCGATCGGTCTTCACCGCAAATGAGGAACGACCGAGAACCGAAAGTAATAAGGGTATTGGCTGTTAGATTTGGCAGTCGATCAATCGATTTTGGTCACCGCACGATCGGATCGTTATGAACTAGGATTCGGTCGTTTAATAATTTGAAGTGAAACGAACGAATCAATCGCGATTGATACAGCACTATAGTGTATTTTTATGTATGAGAGAGTAATAAAACAATAAATTATGTATGCAAATCCCTAAACTGTTGATACGGGTGACTCAATGAAAAACAGATAGTTGTCAACAAGTTTACAGAAGTATATAGGAAAACAATTTTAAATTGAGTATGACCACCAGGTATAAAGGTTGGAGCAGAATAGAATACAATAGTTGTGAGGGTTACTAATCCCTAAATAAGGTTGCCAGTGTCGGAGTGATGGAGGTTAACAGGTACTAATGAATTTGTAAGAAATGTAAGATGTTTATTTTATTGGTTATATATAACCAATTAAAGTTTAATAAGTACCTACCTATTTGCAAAATAAAGTTTAATTCTTTAGATAAAATAAAACGTTTTATTTTATCTGAAATGAGTGCATTCCACGAAGTAAGGGTTTCAACAATCAAACATTTAATTCTTTAATTCCAGGAATCTACGACAGTAATTGACTAGATAATTACCTTCTAAACTTATTCCACAGAAAATGTGATAGTGGGTTTTTCCATTTTGTAGGAAGGTCCAAGTGGCGTATTCAAAATTCTTAACAGTTCACTAAAAGTAGGTACTTCAGTTGCAAGGTGCCGTGTAAACGCCGAAAAATTGGTCCTTTAACAGTTAATGAAACAACATTAATATTTAATTGTTTGAAATCATTTACAGACAAACGTTTATGTGAAAGTGTTGATGAGACCGTTGAGTTAGTTAGCAGTACACTTAGTGTTGGGAAATCTACGATTTACAGAGTTATTAAAGAAGAGAAATGTGGTAGTTTTCAAATGCCACGTAATGCTCCAGGGAAACCAAAATTTCAAATAGAATATCATTTTAATAGACTTTGACGGAAAGTGCATGAATTCTTCTTTAGACAATAATTTCCAACATTGGATAAAGTTCTTGTCTCAGTTCGAGATGATAAGGATTACCCAGAAATGAGTCGAAGTACGTTATGGAAACTTTTAAAAGAAATAGGCTTCCGCTGGAAAAAGAATCCCAGAAAGTCTATTTTATTAGAAAGAAGCGATATTGTCATATGGAGAAGACATTTTCTAAGAACCATAAAGGAAATGAGAAACCAAAAAAGAAAAATATTTTATCTTGATGAAACATGGATCAACGGGGGTCATACACCAAATAAATTTTGGCAGGATGAAACTGTTACAAGTCAAAGGCACGCTTTTGTAAATAACTTATCTACTGGTTTAAACCCACCATCAGGAAAGGGACGCAGGCTGATAATAGTACACATTGGCAGTTCAGACGGTTTTGTTGAAGGTGGTTTATTAACTTTTGAATCAACTCGTACCGGTGACTACTATGAAGACATGAACGCTGATGTCTTTCAAGAATCTTCTTCTTCTTCTACGGCACTACAGCCCAAAATGAGCCTTGGCCTCCTTTATTTTTTGCCTCCACCCTTGTCTGTCTGTGGCTGCTCTTCTCCATACACGGACTCCTAAAAGTGCTTGTGCGTCGCTGCTTACTGTGTCTTCCCAGCGCTTTTTTGGCTTTCCAACTGGTCTCTTTCCCTGCATTCTGGCGTTCAGTGCTCGTTTTGGTAGCCTATCCTCTCCCATTCGTATCACATGTCCGGCCCATTGCAATCTTTGTATTCTAATGAAGTTTGACAGGGGTGTTTCCTTATACAGTTGATAGAGCTCGTTGTTATATCGAATTCTGAAGATTCCGTTTTCCCTCACAGGTCCTAGTATTCTCCTCAGTACTTTTCTTTCAAATGTGTCGAGTTTGTTTTTGGATGTTTCTTTCAGGACCCATGCTTCGCTGCCATAACATGCTATTGGCCGAATTAAAGTTTTATATATTCTCATCTTTGTATTTCGGTGGACACTTTTAGACCGAAATATATGGGAGAGGGCAAAATAAGCTTTGTTTGCCTGCGTTATCCTTTTTCGTATTTCTCCATCCTCTGCTCCATCGGCATATATTTCTACTCCCAGGTATGTAAACTTTCCAACCGTTTCAATGTCATCTTCATGTATAATGTTTTGTGGGATTATATTTCTTCTCGTCTGTACCATTATTTTTGTTTTTTCTGTGTTAATTTCCAGACCTAGCCTTTTCGTTTGTGTTTTTAACTCTGCGTATGCTTCCTGTGCTCCTGTTGATGTTCTACTCATAATATTAATATCATCGGCGTAGGCAGCCAGTTGAACCGTTTTATTGGTCAGTAGGTTTTCTCGTCCAGTTTGCATTTGCCTGACCGCATACTCCAGTGCCAGGTTAAACAATGTTGGTGCCAGCCCATCTCCCTGCTTTAGTCCCTGCGAGATTTTGAAAAAGTCTGTCCGGTTGTTTTGTATTCGTACACATGCCTGAGTTTCATCCATTGTGGCTTTAATGAGTCTAATTAGCTTATGTGGTATTGCTAATTCTGCCAATATATAGTATAGTCTGTCCCTTTTGACTGAATCGTATGCCTGTTTGAAGTCGACAAACACGTTGTGAACATCGTCTTTCAAGAATGGTTCGAACAAATGATAGATCTTTTTCCTAAGAACTGTGTAATAGTAATGGATAATGCAAGTTATCACTCCAGACTTATAGAAGGACTGCCGACAACCAAGTGGTTAAAAAAAGAATTGCAGAATTGGCTGAGTTCAAAAAATATTACGTACCATCCCGGATCTATAAGAAAGGAACTTTATTCGTTGTGTGCCCTTCATAAAGAAAAATTTTAAAAATACGAAATTGATGATATTGCCAAAAATCGTGGAATGACAGTACTTAGATCCCCACCATATCATTGTGAATTAAACCCGATTGAACTGGTATGGGCACAGATAAAGAGTGAAGTTTCAAGAAAAAATACCACTTTTAAAATTCATGATGTTAAACAGTTGTTTTTGGAGGCCGTAAATAATGTAAAACCTGAAAACTGGGAAAAGGCAGTAATAACAATATTAAAGAAGAAGAAAAAATGTGGAAGCTGGACAATATTACTGATAAAATGATCGAGCCAGTTATTATAAATCTTGGTTCTGAAAGTTCATCTTCTGAATCTGATTTGGATTTGTAACAAGTAGCTGTAAGTTTTATATTAATATTTTTATTCATCTATTTAACATACCTTAGACGGTTTTAAAAACTCTTTTTCTTTTTTGTAATTTTTAAAAATAAAAAAAATGTGAATTTTTTAAAACCCACTTTAATGTAGGCCAGTCAGTTCTAATATAGTGTGTGATAAAAGAGGTCACTTTTGTTTACATACACATAACACTTTATAACACTGAAATAATTCATTTATTTTTTACAATTATTCAAAGTAATTTTTCAATTAATCTTGGGCACGCCCATAGAGTGGTCGAAGGTACCAGTTAAAATTATGCTAATTACTCTCTCGTTCATAAAAATAAACTATAACCTAGACCCTTTTCTGATGTCCTTATATCTCATATAGAAGCCATCAAATTTTCAGGAAGCAACAATAGAAGCTTCTTACATTTAACGTTCCGTGTTTTATCATTTGACGGCCTATAAACACCGAAATCAATATACCATTAGAGTATTTTTACAAAATTCCAAACAGAGCAAATGAACAAAAAGTGATAACAAACACTTTCTCAGTAAAATTATATTAAATAGATATATCAAATGTATAAAATTCAATATTGGCCCCCTTTAGTGACAAATTCATATTTTGTTTCAAATTACAAAATATATTGAATACAATCTTACCTTTTTACAAAACTGGCACTGATATGCGCCTTGTCCATTGTGTAATTCCGTAGCATGTTTCATTATGTTCTCTTTGCCCAAAACTGCAGCTCCACATATCTTACAATGATATTTCCTTATTGTTAAACTATACCGAAGATCATGGAATATTGAGCAATGTATTTGGTAGTATTGAGGGTGTTTGAAGTCCATATTACAACCCCCACAAGCTAAAATAGAAAAGCGCCAATAATCCAACGTACACAATGAAATTAATCAAAAATTACTCAACACTATCTTTATCTGATAAATATTCTTAAAAATATCTTTTTATAATATCAATTCTTATAAATGGCCGTGGAAGCCTACGATTTCATTTAATTCTTATAAACATTGTTAAAAAAGGCAACGTTGTGTTCTGTAATTCTCACTCGCCTATATACTAAAAAATGTTTGACTTACCAGTTTTTTCCATTTTCTTTTTAACATTGGCCATTGGAGGATCTTGCCAGTAGAGAAGCTCCTCTCCACTCTTGATAAATTTTATAGAAACAACATATAACTTAGAATCTCTAACTATCACAGTCAAATTTTTATCATCTCTCGTGGGAGCAGGTCGCACAAACTTGATCCAGTTGGAATCAACATTACTTTCAGTGTCAATGTATTTGTTGCCAGATGCTTCACTAATTTCCCAGATATACTGCATGTTTACGTCTTCAGATATATCTCTTTCTTTGATCAAATTACCTTGAACACAAAGTAACAGTTTTAGGTATGAATATGAGATAGATGCAAGATAGTCAGTGACATTCAAAATATTTAAAACCAAAATTACCGTGAAAGATACTTTCAATACTAAAGAGAGCTAAGAATTAAGCAAAATATTAATACTAAAGCCCTAGCAAACACTCTTTGGGAATTAACCATTCTATCGATTTTGAAATTTTACAGATTTTAGAAGGGGCGAAAAATTATAATAAAAAATATATTTTGGAGATGATTCAAATTAAAAAATATCTAAACTATATTAATAACAAAACAGATTAAAAATATCTTTGATTATAATGAAATATGTGAGCTTTATTTATTTAAAATATATTTTCTAAAAACAAAGTGTTTTATATATTAAAATTGATTGACAGTAGGAAGTTCAAGACTGACAGAAGTTGAAGCAATTAACGGAGGCCTATGTTCAACTTTTGACGCAGAAGGCTGGATGATAATGATGATGATGATACATAACTACCATAATTAGTGAGAAAAGAACACTAGAGGTTGTTCTGCTAACAGAGAGAGACCGAATATAGTATGAGATAAGTCTCGACATACGAGCTTTTTTTTAACCCCCATTAGATTGAGTTCTAGATTTGGCAATGTGACATTCAGTTTTGATAACGGAAACGTTAAATATACGTTTATTTTTTCATTATTAATAGTTCTGGTTTTATTTGAAAAAAAAAAAGAATAAAGAAATTAATATTTTAAGCTAGGAAATTAGGAATATGGTAACCTTCACAACTAAACATGAAATTCAAATTATTAAATGACATTATTCTGGAAGTAGTGCAGACGATATAATCGGTAGGTTTTCGTTTTCATTCGAAGGCCCTGTATTAACAAAATCTACAATTCACATTATTTTTAAATTTGAAAAAACTGATTGTGCCAAGACTTGTAGAAGATGCACGGATAGTGATGAAGATGAAAATCAACCAGCTCGTACAATTAATGAAGAACGGTAACGAGAACAGCATGAAACTGCTGTATGTTGTCTAAACTGAAATCAATTTTCCTTGTAATAGCACCCTAACTTCAAGAGAAACTAGTATTAGTTCTAGAACTGTAAAATATTTTTCACCTAAGAAGACCGCTTTACAATTAAATGCTGGTAAGTTTATTACTAGCGGACCAGATAAGCGGCGATATATTTTACACTACCTTTATGAATAACATATAAGTTATAGTTTATTGGTTTATAATTTTATTGCAATAGTACGAGAGCGGAATATTTATTTAAACAGTGACTTTATTACATGTTATTTTTTTTAATTTCCTCTGACGTATCGTATAATGTAGGTTTACCCAATAATCAAAGTTATGCATTTACAAGAACATATTATTTGAAAAATAAGGAGTAAATACCATGTGTCATAATAATTGTAATCTCAGGAAAAAAGACAGTTAAGATTTTATACACACTTAAAAAATGTGTTTAGTAATGTATTTCTTAAATCCACACAATCATTGAAAAATGATTCATGCTGTTTAAAATATCTTTCTGTTAACGGCACTGTCATCGACAAAATAGATCAAATTCAAACGTCATCATATTTATCTTCTGTTTATCGTTAAAAATTAATTGATCGTCGTGGGTTGTATTTTTGTTATTTAATCATTTTACAAAATACATCGTCAGCAAAAACCTTATTTAAAACGTGCGAAGGGTTTTTGCAATCACAATCACTACAGTGTTTATGCTTGTTTAGCATTGGCTGTTAAATAATGTGTGTTCGATTGTTTCATCTGTATATAAGTACCTATTTTTTATAGTAGTGTAGTGAAGCGGTACTTTAAAGCAAAATGAGTAATTTGGAAGAAAATAAAATACAGTCAAAACGTAGAGTGTTATCTATTCTATCTAATCTATCTATTTTCAATTTGGAAAAAAATAATAGATATGGGTCCATTGACATCTGTTATGGCAGTTCAGAAAAGCACATGCGATGCTTGCGGTATCTCAGAGAGGACATTCCGAAGAATTAATAACATGAGTGAGGGTGATTATTTCATCATAAAGTAAGCAAGAGAAATCGTCATCCAAATCCAAATCGAACATCCAAAAACTTTAGATTTGCACCAGTCAAACGGTCGAATCCATCAATTAATTAAACTTGCAATTAAAAACATTATATATAATATGTATAAAGCTAAAGAACATGTAACAGTGAGTGCTGTGTTGCAAAAAATATAAGACAAGGAACTGTGTGATATTAGTTTAACAAGTTTCTGGAGAGTGTTGAAACATTTAGGTTTTCGATATAAGACAAATAATATGCAAGTATTGTGTGAAGTCTCTAATGTTGTTTCAAAACGATGGCATTTTTTAAGAAAATACATGAACAATAAAATGTCTAATAGTTCGAGGCAAGTTGTATTTTTAGATGAAACTTGGATTTCGCTAAAGGAAATATGTCAAAATCATCTTGCAAGATGGCACACGAAATGTTATTCTTCTAGTCGTTCCGGTAATGGTAAACGCTATATTATACTTCATGATGACAATGATGAGGGTTTTATTCCTGACACTAGTGTAATTTTTTCGTCCACAAAGAATACAGGTGATTACCATGGAAATATGGATGCAAATATTTTTGAAGAATGGTTTGAAGAAAATTTGCTAAAAAAATTGGAGCGACCATCCATAATAGTCTTGGATAATGCATCCTCCCACTCAAGAGTAGAAGAGAGATTTCCTTCAAGCAGCTGGACAAAAGAAGAAATAAAGTTGTGATTGACAGAAAAGAAAATTTATCACAGTGACATATTTTTAAAAGGCGATTTACTTCAAAGGTGTGGAGAGCACAAAATTCAAAAGAAATTTGTTACTGACCAAATGGCTCTTAAATATGGCCATTAAGTTCTTCGACTTCCGCTCTACCATTGCCACTAAAATGCAATTGAGTTAGTTTGGTGTATAGCAAAAAATTTGTATGATAAACATGCATCGAAAACAAAAGATGACGCTAGCGTTCTTGGTTTATGGAAAGAATCGCTAGAACAACTAAAAGCAGAACAATGGCAAAATTGTATTAGGAAGACATAATCGTTCAGTCTTTTCAAACCGAGCGAGTTATAGATGAGGTCCGGCCTCTAATTATTCGGATAGACAATTCAGATAGTGACGACTCTGCTAGTGAAATATCAGACACTGAATCGGCTGTTAAAAAGAAGAAACAAAAAAGTGTTTCGGGAATTCGGACTTTGCGGTGTTTTAGTTAAACGATAAAATACCTTCGGTTTAATTACTGGACTGCATACTCTCAATAGCTTTGGTATTAATTACTGGACTTCTTCTTAACGTGCCTTATCAAGTCCCCTTGACATTGGCGATTAACATGGCGAAACTGTCTCTATCTCGAGCTATTCTAAAAAGTTGCTCAGGTTTCCTTATTCCTGTCTACTCCCTGATATTCTTCAACCAAGAGGCCTGCTTTCTACCAATTCCTCTGCGTCCTTCGATTTTACCCATCATAATAAGTTGAAGAATATTATATCGGTCTCCCCTTACTACGTGTCCAAAATAGGCCATCTTTCTACATTTGATGTTATCAAGCAGCTCGCGAGCAGCATTTGCTCTCTCAAGGACTGCCACATTTGTCAGCATAGCCGTCCATGGAATTTTTAGTATAGGTCTGTGCAGCCACATTTCAAAGGCCTCCAGACGATTAATGGTGGATATTTTTAATGTCCATGCTTCGACACCGTATAAGAGGACTGACCAAATGTAACAATTAACTATGCGCTTTCGAAGTTGAGGTTGCAAGTTATCATTACAGAAGAATGACCTCATTTTTAAAAATGTCGTGCGGGCTATCTCGATTCTACATTTTATCTCTTGATCTGGATCTAGTTGTTCAGTAATATGGCAACCAAGATAATTAAAACTGGACACTCTTTGAATTATATGACCATCAACATATAATCGTGCATCTTGATGTGCTAAACGGCTAAACACCATGTGTTTTGTTTTTGAACAGTTTATGTTTAGGCCAAACTCTCTTCCCGCTGTATAAATGGCATTTAGAAGGCATTGTAGTCCATTCATGTCATCACTTAAAATAACTGTATCGTCTGCATATCTGATTGTATTTATCAGAATTCAATTAACTTTCACGTCCCATTCCAAATTATGCAGTGTTTCTTTAAATATTCTATCTGAATATAAATTAAATAACAGTGGGGATAGTATACAACCCTGTCTGACACCTCTTTGTATTTTACATATTTCTGTTGATTTTCCGTTTATGAAAGCAGTCGCTGTTTGACGGCAGTATAACTTTTCTATGAATCGTATGTCTTGACTATCAACTCCTTTATCTTTTAATATTGTAATTAATTTGTGATGCTGTACTCGATCAAAGGCCTTTTCATAGTCAATAAATACAGCAAAGACGTCTTTCCTTTGACCTCGACATTTCTGCAGTAATACATTTAGTGCAAAGAGGACGTCCCGAGTTCCCAGTCAATTTCTGAAGCCAAATTGTGTTTCATCCTGGTTTTCTTCACATTTATCTCTGATTCTACTGTGGATGATGCGTAGAAATATTTTCAAAGTGTGGCTCATAAGGCTTATCATTCTTTAATCGCTACAGTTTTTCGGACGTTGTTTTTTTGGTAGTGTTATGAATTCGGACTTTAACCAATCTTCAGGGATATCACCAGTCGAATAAACATCATTGAAAAGCTTGACCAGTATTCCAATGTTCTCCTCATTTACAAGCTTTAACATCTCTGTCGGTATGTTATCAGGGCCAACGGCTTTCTTGTTCTTTGATAACTTTATAGCATGTAGTATTTCTGATTTTAGTATTTCTGGTCCTTCACCTTAAAACTAAAGTCTCCAGTTCTTCGGGTCTATCATCATTATACAGTTCACTTACATAATTACACCATTTCCAGTCCAATTGCTGGACTACACGTTTTAAACATTTTGTTTTGCTGAAAACTCGGAAGTGATTTATATATAT